TACTATCTGCGAATGAGAACCTCCAGGGTGGGCTAGTGTTACAGGATTCAGATGTGTAGACGGAACATCAAAAAGAAAGGTTCCTTCTAGAAGGCGCGGAGAGATGTAACCCCCGCGGAAGGATAAAGCAGGGGACATGATCTAGTAGCCCCTGCTTGTACTGAGGATCCTGCGCCCCTTGGTGTCATTCCTACCGATACCCAAGGCAACAGCTACTGCTGTTGCTGTTCTGCAAGAGTAATAACAAGTGAGTTCTTCTTCAAGGGTCAACCAGACTTCATCACGCGTGCATACCACCACATTAGCGAGAAGAAATGAAATCAGTACACGACGCATTTCGGCGATCGATGGACATCGTTATATACTACACTAACTAGTTGATTTTTAGAAAATTCAACATCGATTTTTTATCGACGATGTTGTCCGTTCCACCCCCGTGTGACGATCCGAAGCACGGATACGGTCAACTCAATGAAGAGATCATGACAACGATGCGGACGGCGTAAGGCTGGAATGAGCAACCGGTGCCTGTGATAAGCAAAAAACACAGTTAGTCACGAACATCATATTTCCCTTCTATGGATACCAAACAATAACAATTACATATGTTTCATTAAGATCTGTTTCATTTCCCACCTCTGCAAAAATCAACCACGGTATCAACCTAACCCTAAGCATGTAACGATGGTGTTGTTAACGCACCTCGATTCAGATGGAAATAGCATCGGGCATTGGGCGCGGCCGTTGGCGTGAAGACCGCAGCCACGAGGGAGGTGGCAAAAAAAAGTTTAGTCGTACAACGACGAGGGAGGTAGGAAAAATAAACTTTAGTTGACATAATATAAGTAAATAGCGTCAAACGTGTGAGATGTATACATAGGTAATTACGAAACCAAAGAACGTCAAGACGGTGAATCGAGTGAAGGAAATTTGCGAAGAGAACCGTGACTTCCTACCGAAGTTGTTACATGAAATGTGCGCGTGACCAATAACGTTGTTTTTATTTGGGAGATGGGTTACTCAATTAGTATGTGGTTCGGTCACTGATAAATACACAATAGAACATCCTCACCTTGGGACAAACAGAGATGGCCGCGGATCCTTGGGTGCCTCCGCCGGCGTGAGGGCCACAGTCCACGGACATGTGGGGCAGAACTACCGTGAAAAACGTCGGCACCATGTCGTGGTCAAAGTGGTCACGCGGGGTGTGTTTGCTAGTACATGTTATAGGAAATTCTCCCGTGGGGTTGCAGGCCGAGGAGCAACCCGGGGGCGAACCCATGCCGCATTTCATTCTTATCACCGGTCCAGATGCGGCAAACCGGATCATCACTTAGGGGTAAACGCTCTCCAGGGTTTGCCAAGCAGCTACGACGTCGAAGGAGTAGACCTTGGGAGGGTCGAGGATGTGGCTGAATTGCTTCGACGGAGGAAGGTCGGGTTTGGCGTTAGGAGAACCCATAGCATACTTGGAACGTGATGTGCGAGTGTGGAAATCCTCGCTTCTTCTGTCGATTGTAGTAAAAATTTGAAAAACGGTGACATGAAAGATTTATTAAAACCAATACATAGTATATGATGGTGTTCGCATAGTCGATGCTGGTGTAAATCGTTTTTTTTTTTTATGTTTCCTTAAATCATCAGTGTATAGACTTGCCGGTCTGGGTCTAGTTTGGTAGCCTCGTAACCTTCTAGAGGTCAGGTCAGGGGTTCGAATCCCGGCGTAGGCGAGCTTTTCTTGCAAAGTGAGTTTTTCTCTCGCTTCCGCTCCTGGCCAAGTGGATAGCGCTAGTTCGTGTGTACACAGAGGGAAGAGAGTGCTGAACTCTTCTCGCATTAAAAATTGAAGGCGAAGTACCGCAGGAGGGGAGGGTAGAGAGAGGCTCTTCTGTGTGACCACGGGTTGGAATAAACGGCACTAGTGCTGTGAGCGCTGATTTGAAGTGAAGAAAAAAAAAAAAAAAAAGACTTAAAAAGACTCGAAATAAGTCCAGTACCCAGCCGGTTTCCCTCCACTCACTGAAAAGACTCCACCTGAAAAGACTCCACCACATCCCGTTCGACTATGGGTATATCTCGAATGGGTAGTCTTTTGGGGGGGGTGTTATTTTTATTCCTTAATTCGTATATCTTTTCAATTACAGCAGTAGTTCGGGAGGATGGTGGCAACGTGCCGAACTTGTGTAGGGCGTTCTACGAGCTCCAGACGGGACTACTGCCATCACAGTCAGTCATCTTCGAAAGAGATCCTCCGCCACCACCTATTGTTGTCTGTTTTTACCTACCAGTCAGGGTTGAAGCTTACCTCTCTGTCAGCAGAGTGTGCCGTCTCGCGAGGGAGCTGACTCCTGCTAGGGTTAACGGGACGTTACTCCTTCCCCGTACAGTATCTTCTAACGGTTGAAGTGGATGCTGAGGCTCTCGACAGGTGCGCGCGTGTGAAGATCATCATGGAGACTTTGTCATCACTCCAAATAGATGCTGTTCTTCTCCCAGAATTTGTGCCGTATCACGCCCCTTCCCGCGATCACACATAAGGGTTCCTCTCCCTGAGCCCCCCCTTCAGTTTGTACTGCTGTGGCGACTTTCCCGGAGGTCGTCTCACATACAGCGTTTTAGCTTTAAAAAAGCGATCCACGGAACCCCCCTACCTTGCCTATTTATTTGCTACAAGTTGTTATTTTTACTGCTGAACAACAGTCGTGAAATACACGTGCAAGATTTGTTGAGCTACAACCTCACGAAGAAAAAAGGAACTTAGTCATCCTCGGGAAAATGCGACCGAGTATCGCCACAGATTCTCCTTCACAAAGACATGATGATGATGAATTGATCTCCTTCACATCACGTGCGGGTATTGATTTCTTCCTTCGAACCATCCATTTCATTTTTTTCAAGCACCACCGGCGGGCGATTGCTCCGGTTGGGAGGGGGTTGTCCAACCCTGGGGGGGGGGGGTGTCAACGTAATCCAGGGTAGCGGGACTTTCAACGTCAGCGGTCTTCCGCACCTTAGCAACGTGAAGTGGCTGACACGTCGTTGTAGCCACGTTGGGTTGTCTTTGAGATCAATTTAAGGCCTTCACGTTGGTTTTTGACACATTTGCACCACGTTGGGGCGTTTTTGGCCTTGACACAAAGACCTTAGAGCCGGGCTTCGGCTTCACCCCACCATGAACAAACGGCTCAAAAACGCCTCAACGTGGCTCCAACGTGTCAGCCACTCCACGTGGCCCACGTGCGGAAAACCGCTGACGTTGAAATTCCCACCCTGAAACACGTCGGACAACCCCCCCCCCCCGGGGTGGGCCCCCACCATCTCTCTTTTGGTGTACGCGGTACCCCGCAGGTGTGGGGGGGAGGCTATGG